CCGCCGCTGCCGCCAGCCCTGAGGGGTCGGCTAGTGCCAGCGTGGCTGAACGGGCTGCGCTCCTGACCTGCTGCGTCCAGAAATGCTGAAATGATGCACCAATCTGCACGCTGCACAGACCCCCCCAAACCAAGCGCTGACGTGGTGAGCCCTTAGAATCAGGTATTACGGAATATGCTGGTATGATGTGATGCACCAAAACGTGACGTATATTTCAGCTGCGCACAATTATTTCTTTATTTTTAAAGCTATATCTTCCTGCAGGGGGCAACAGCACGCCATTGCAAAGACAAGGGAGCAAGGATTGGGAGTTGGGGAGTCTGCAAGCCACTCTCCTTCTCCAGCAGCCAAGTTTTCTGGGCCACAAGAAACGGGCAAATCACACTTGCAGACGGTGCGGCTCTTGTTTAGACAGAGCAAACCGTATCGATGCCACGCAAACCAAGTTTCCGAGGTGACCTCACATCTCTCGCAGGTTGGAACAGAGGCTGCCTTCAAAGGCTTCCTAGACCTGCTTGGATGAAATCTGGCCAGGTCTGAGATGGGAGCGTCAGTGGAAAAAGTAGGCGCATGAGCCTACTTGTTTGGGGAGCCGCGCTCGGCCAGAGCTGTTTTCTTTTGAAGCCTTGTTTCCCCCTCGACCCATCCATGCACTGACCTCGCCTGCCTGTGCTCACGAGGGGAGACAGGCCTTGCCCTGCTTCCTTCCCCTCCTAGCCTGGCGCACGGATCCCCGTTCGTCAGGCCCGGAGAAAGGCATCAGTGTCTGCTTTCCAGCACAAACACGCCAGGGAACAGACGCCCCATTTAGACGGGGAGACTGCTGCCTCCAGCCGCTCTGTTTACCCTTCCCTCCTGCGCAGATCTTCGGCACAGGAAAGGCACGTTCTTCCACCCCTGAGAAGACGCTTCGGCACCCTCTCCTCCGATTACCTCACAGGCCGGGAAAAGAAAGTGGGATTGAATGAGCAGCACTCCAGCCCCCAGACACGTCGGTGTGGACGTCAGGCCCTGCTGGTATTTCGAAGGGTCTTCCAAGGGTACCCAGATTGGAAGCAGGCTTACTTGGAAGTCAGGGCTACCTTCTAAAGCTATGTCAGGGGCAGGCAGGAACTCTGACGCCACGTGGGAGGCTGCCTATGCCATCCTTTGACAATCTGGGGTTCCCCAGATGTTTTTGGGGGCCCAACTCCTGCCAGCAGGGCAGTGCTGGCTGGGGCTGACAGGAACTGCCAGCCAAAACATCTGGGTTGGCAAAGGGCTACACCAACTGCTCCCTGCCACCAATGGAGGCTAGTCCATTTGGTGCGAAGGGGGCACTGCCTTGCCAGCCTCAGCCAGCCACCAGCTGCCTGCCTTCTTGCGTACAACCTATCCAGGGGGTGGCATTGGCTGCCAACTCCCCCGCCTTAGTGGAGAACTCTGCAGGGAGTAGATGGGGACATCTCAATCTCTCACTGGCTCTGGCGCCACCTGCTGTTTGACTCCATGATGCCCACCCTGTCATTCCCAACGGGCACTGGTCACTAACGCTGCAATGCAGGATTTGACCCAGGTCTCGGTAGGTCTCGCAGCTTGTTATATGGCTTCCTTGGGGAGAAATCTGATGTACTACTGATTTCATGCATGGTATCCCCAACCTTCGGCCCTCCAGATGTTTTGGACTACATTTCCCATCATCCCTGACCACTGGTCCTGTTAGCTAGGGATCATGGGAGTTGTAGGCCAAAACATCTGGAGGGCCGCAGGTTGGGGATGCCTGGTTTAGGCGACCTGACCCTTTCCCACCCCAACACTTCTGGTTCCCAACCGGACCCGTCCACTTGAGTGGCAAGCAATGCCAAGCAGACAGGGCTTGGGCCCTAGAAATAGGGTGGTCCAAATGGACTCCCCCTCTCCTGGCTGCTGCCACCCAACCAGCAGCTTTCAGTCTGACACAAGACTGAAAAGACACAAGACTGCCTGTGTTGCTCAATGAGCCAAGTCCCATTGCCACCCTACACTTCAGGTACCAAGCCAAAAGCAAGATGAGTCTCTGAGTGGACGTGGCTCTCTCGTTCTCCCAGAGAAGCATCTCTGAGATGTTCTCTTCCTCCTAGGACGTGAGCACACGAGTCCATATGCAACATCTTTTCTGTTTTCTCTCTCTCTCACATACATACAAATATATGCACACAGACGCAATCTAAGGAGCAGAGGCTTCTCTGCGGCACCTCCAGACACAGCTCCTCCTGCCTGCCCTGCCACAAATCTCATTCCTTCCTTCGGCGCCCTGCTCCGCCCCCGGCTCGGAAAGTCAAGAAAAAAGCCACGCAAGTGCCTCCTGCGGCCCCCTCTAGAGAAGCAATAGCTTGGCAGTTATTTTCAAAGGCAAACCTGCTGCTATAAGACACACACACACAAACACACACACACAAATGCCATGCAAAAGATCCTTTACGTCAGCGAGACGAGTCCTTGCAGGCGGCGGCAAAATTATTCTGGCAAGACCGAAGGGCCTTGTTCCGCTCCCCTCTCTCGCTGTGCCTGCGGTTTCCCTGGTGGAAGCACCCTTGATCCTGGGGAGAACGTGGCAGGCGAGACTGGGGTGCTGGCAAGGGACTCTGGGCCACGCGAGACGTCCCCCCCCAAGTGGCAGGCCAGGGGGCTGGGACTGGCCCACCCCGTCGGCTCATCAACTTAACACTACGAGAGGAGGAGGAAGAGGCGTTCGTGGGGGCGCGCTCTGCACACCTGCCGCGCTCTTTTCTGCCCGCCTTCGTGTAAACAATGCGCAGAACCCAAAGCCGCTCTTTTGGACGCCAACGGAGGGAAATTAGTTTGGCCTTTTTAATTTCCTTTCCGCCCCCCCCCGACAACAACTGCAGCTCACAACGGTGAATGTCGGTGCAACACAGCTCCTATTTACAGATGGCCGACGCGTCGCTCTCTGCGTCGTCGTCTTCATGCTTCGGTGACGTTATTTCAGAAAGTCTCTTTCTTCGCGAGGAGCGGTTCCGTCTGCCACCCCCGCTGCCCGTTCCCAACGGATGCTCCGTGAATTATTATTTGGCTGCTAAGAGGCTTGCCCTTAGCCACGGTTGGGGAGGCCTGCTCCTCTGAGGAAGCCCTCCGACATCTTTCGCTCCCCACCCAATGTCATTTCTCTGTTTTGTGCATAATCATAAACCTGGCGGATCCCAGTCCTGTTTCTTGACGATGCGTAACAGCAATATAAGTGTGACCCTTTTACAAAATGTAAACAGAGATGGAGAGAGGAGGAGACAAGAGACAGACAGACAGAGAGACAGAGAGAGAGGAAAACGGAAACGGAAAGGTTGCAAATTATCTCCAGGGATCCTTGACACGTCCGGGGACTCGCTGCCAACTTTGCTGCTGGTCCAGCAGCCCAATTTGCTGACGGCCAGCGTTCTCACTGCAGACACCTCCGTCTTCTAGATCGTCGAGGTTCTGTCGACACCATCTGAAAGGGTGAGGTTCACCGTTAAGAGCACAATTCAAAGTGTTGGCACTGACCTTTAAAGCCCTAAGCGGCCTCGGTCCAGTATACCTGAAGGAGCGTCTCCACCCTCATCGTCCAGCCCGGACACAGAGGTCCAGCTCTGAAGGCCTTCTGGTGGTTCCCTCATTCCGAGAAGTGAGGTTACAGGGAACCAGGCAGAGGGCCTTCTTGGTGGTGGTGCCCGCCCTGTGGAACGCCCTCCCACCAGATGTCAAGGAAATAAGCAACTTTTAGAAGACATCTGAAGGCGGCCCTGTTTAGGGAAGTTTTTAATGTTTGATGTTTTATTGTGCTTTTAATATTCTGTTGGGAGCAGCCCAGAGTGGCTCAAAATAAATTATTATTATTACTTATTTTTATTACTTTTTATAATATTTTTATTATTATTACTTAATTATTATTACTTACGCGACATGCTCAGTTTTTAATGTTTGATGTTCTATCGCTTTTTCGTTATTATTAAAATTCTGCTGGGAGCCGCCCAGAGTGGCTGGGGAAATAGTAGTAGTAGTAATAATAATAATAATAATAATAATAATAATAATAATAATAATAAGTAGGTGTGTCTTCGGGTGTCTTCTAAAGGTTGCAGAGTTACTTATCTCCTTGGCATCTGATGGGGGGGCCTGGCACAGGGCAGGCGCCACCACCAAGAAGGCCCTCTGCCTGGTTATACACTTCTGCCGCATCTCCTCTTACTTGACATTTTCTAAGCTAAGACGTCTCGCACAGGAGTTGCCCATCCCTTCGGCTGCTTGGGTCGCCCTTTTGCGAACCTTTTGCAGCTCTGCAGTCTCCCTCTGCGAACGAGGCAAACCAGGAGGAGGGCACAGGGAGATGGGGTGGGAGGAAGGGTGAAGAGTCTGCCCTTTCAAACTTCAGCCCCCAAAGATGCTCTCCATTTAGCACATGAGCCAGACGGAGGAAATGCTTCTGGGGGCGGGGGCTGCGGCTTCAAAGTTACACGTGGGCACAGATGGGGGAGAGGAGGGAGACACATACACACACAGGCATGTTTTGTCCAGCGGCAACTCAGCCTATGGTCTACAGCCAACTATTACAGCTCTCCCCGCTAAATAATTGTGGAAACTGCCCCAATGCTCAGATTCATCCCCCTGGGGGCTTTTCAGACTTATGGGGGGGGGGGAGAGAAAGGAAAAAGATGAAAGAAGGGAGCTTGCTCAGGTCTCCTTTCAGAAAAGCAAACAAACAGCAAAACCACCTGAGCTCAAAACTCAACGACCCCTTTCTTTAAAACGTTATTTATAGCACTGCTCAGCGGGCCGTCCTTGGTCTAGCGTTGCTGAATGAAAACAACCAGCGAGGAACAAGATCTTTGGAATGTCTCGGCAAGATTCCTTTCAAAGCAGCTGCAGGAAAAAATAGGAATTCCTCCCCCCACCGCCTGCCCCCGCCCCTTACTAACGTAGCTGATCCACTTTCAGTAGCCAGGAAGATCTCAGACTTAAGTTGGTGAGTAATGAAAGCGGAAAACATGGCCTTTCCCCTTCCTCTTTGCCCTCTCAGCTAGAATTTTTATTTTATCCCGAGACCTGTGGGTATAGGACTGTAGACAAGCAAGCCAGTTTTTAATGATTTTAGCGGCCGCTGCATTCAACGACTAACAGTGCAATTGGTTTGTGGCAGGGGTTGGGAACTTCGGGGGCCGAAACCCAGCCAGGTGGGAGGGGTACAAATAAATAATAATAATAATCAGAATACTATGTGACGTCTCTCATCTTCAGCCACAAACCCACAGATACACTACAGACCATGTGGATGAAGTTTGTGAATCGGCGGTGGTCCACGGGCTACAGCTTGGGAACTCCAGAGCTGTTTATTAACACTAGAATTGTGTTATTCTGATTTTGCAGCTGAGCATCTACAGCTCATGGGACGCGGGTGGCACTGTGGGTTAAACCACAGAGCCTAGGACTTGCCGATCAGAAGGTCGGCAGTTCGAATCCCCGCGAAAGGGTGAGCTCCCATTGCTCGGTCCCTGCTCCTGCCAACCTAGCAGTTCGAAAGCACGTCAAAGTGCAAGTAGATCAATAGGTACCGCTCCGGCGGGAAGGTAAACGGCGTTTGCGTGCGCTGCTCTGGTTCACCAGAAGCGGCTTAGTCATGCTGGCCACATGACCCGGAAGCTGTACGCTGGCTCCCTCAGCCAATAAAGCGAGATGAGCGCTGCAACCCCAGAGTCGGTCACGACTGGACCTAATGGTCAGGGGTCCCTTTACCCTTTACTTTATCTACAGCTCTAGCAGGGGTAGCCAGCATGGTGGGCCCAGGTGTTCTTGGTGCACAACTCCAGTGGGGTCAAAGGTCAGGGAGTGATGGGAGATGTAGTCTAAGAGCATCTAGAGAGTCCCACCTTGGCTGGCTATTCTTGGTCCATCCTGACAAACCAAACTGACTCGTAATAATTCCCCCTGAACCAAGACGTAGGAACGGCCAAGAGGGAGACAACAGAGATGAAATTTAGCAAGACAACACATTTATCTTACAAGAGTTCCTAGAATCATACAAACTTCAGATATCTGAAGATGGCTATTCTATCGCTTCCCAGTCTTCTCTTGTCCAAGCTAAGCATACCCAACTCCTTCAACCGTTCCTCATAAGGCTTGGTTGACTTTCCCGACACAATTCATTATGGTAACTTCAATGGGTAGCAAAATGGTTTTAGCAGAAACCGAACTGTAGCTGAATGGAAACAGTGTGCATTGCAACGAAAGCAGGACAGGACAGAAATTGCTGTCTCCTTGTATCCCAAGCTCTGGCCCTTCCCCAAAGGGCTTCTGTCTCTCTCTGTGTGCCTTTCTCCCCCCAAAAACATCTCAATCCCTTAAACTGCAGCTTGAAATGGCTCAGTCCGGAATTCTACCATCTTCCTGTGTGTCATGAGTGGATGGGATCTCAGGACATTTCTGACACAGATAAGAGGTTGGAAACAAGAGAAGCGCTTACCTCCAAGTGCATGTTCTGTCATACTGAGGCACAACGACTCCAGCCTATTATTGATGTCAGGTTCTGTCACTGGTACCTGGAACTCTGCAGAAAGAAACCAGAAAGTGTGTTTCCATGTGAATAGGAAATATCTGCAGAGTAGCTGGAGCCACTTCCTGCATGCGGAAGAAAATCCAGGCTGCAAATCTGGTTAAGACAAAAGTTTTTCCTTCTGGAGAATTATTATTATTATTATTCTCCATTCTGGGCCGAGTGGGGGAACTTGTCCGCCTCTTTTCGTCTGGGAGATTGCAGTCAAAGACAACTAGTTAGTGCATGAAGGGGTAAAGGACCACAGAGCTGTATTGCTAGATAGTCTCAGCCAGGCTACGCCATAGTCTACTCTGCAAAGGAAGTCAAGCCTTTCTACTTCCTTTCTCTCTCTCTCTGCAACCAAGGAGGACGTGTGTAAGTTTGCTCCTGAGCTCCCAAGCTTACAGCACATATTTGGAACTACATTCGGTATTCTCTACCCAATAGTATTGTGCCTGTATTATCCTTGCTGCTGCACGCAGCAATGCACGACTCAGACCTTGAATCTGTAAGTAAAGCATTTTAAACTTACTTAACAGTGCGTGGTCTGCTCATTTCAAGAGCGGTAGAAAGAGGTCACCTGCTGTGTGCAGCTGAATGGGATGTAAAGGTTTAAGAACCTATATTCCTAACGCTTTACTGTTGCTTAACTTTTGCGAGTTTAATCTCTGCTACTGGGGCTCTCTCCGTACAGGAGCATGACGTTTTGAAACCAGGCACGCAGCCTTTTTCTTTCACTCCTCACCCACACACCTGGGTCCACAGGGATCCATATATTTAATCCCCCTCCTAACCTGACGGTTTAAAAGCACCACCTAAAAATAGTCTTAAAAGACTTTGGAGTGTGGTGGCACTGGTGAAGGGAGATTGCAAGCTTGCCAAATGTCCACTGTATCGCTTAGGCGGGCTGTGGGGATGGTTCCAAGGAAACAGGGGCAATTTGGCAGGCCCCAGCTAGCTCCAGCCCACCGGCTGGTAGCCGAGCAATCTTCAGGCCTTGGCTCAGCATGAAACAGCAACCCTCAGCTTCAGAAGCCTTCAGAAGCTGGAGCACGCTCTAATCAGCAGAGTTAATAACACGCAACAGAAGTGGCAGGAGACGGCCGTGAGAGCATATTTACAGGCAGTTTATTCGGCATACATCAGGACAAAGGAAAAACATGTCTTCTCCCTTTCGTGTCCAAGAGCAAGAAGCAAAAGCAAAAGCTATACACACAAACGGAAGTTCCCAGCAAGCTGTGCTGGAGTGTAAACAGACATGCGACATACAACTATCCACACATCTCTTTTAAGGTGGAACGGAATATTCTAACAGAGATAAGAAGAGGGTGAGGACTGGCAAAGGAGCAAGACGTCTTTGGCCTACCTGGCTGCTGAAACATAAGCATGGTTTGCGGAGAGGTGTGCACTGGCAGCGAGCGCGTCCTCTGCACAGAGCTGTGAGTCCGGCTGGGCATGCTGTTGCTCCCTCCAGGGTTTGCAAACCAAAGGTTCTGTAAGGGAGAAGAACATGCACCGTCAAGCTGCAAATGGAGAGGCCAATGGGAGACGCAGCTACAAGATGCCCTACCCATGTTGGCTGTCTACACTCTAGGACCTACAGGGATGCAGGTGGCGCTGTGGTCTAAATCACTGAGCCTCTTGAGCTTGCCAATCAGAAGGCTGGCAGTTCGAATCTCCGCAATGGAGTAATCTCCCGTTGCTCTGTCCCAACTCCTACCAACCTAGCAGTTCGAAAGCATGCCACTGCAAGTAGATAAATAGGTACTGCTCTGGCGGGAAGGTAAAAGGCGTTTCCATGCGCTATGGCTTCCATCACAGTGTCCTGTTGCGCCAGAAGCGGTTTAGTCCTGCTGGCCACATGACCCGGAAAACTGTCTGTGGACAATCGCCTGCTCCCTTGGCCTGAAAGTGAGATGAGAGCCGCAACCCCATAGTCGCCTTTCACTGGACATAACCATCCAGGGGTCCTTTACCTTTTACCTTACACCATGTGTAGGCAAACTAAGGCCCGGGGGCAGGATCCGGCCCAATCGCCTTCTAAATCCGGCCTACAGATGGTCCGGGAATCAGTGTGTTTTTACATGAGTAGAATGTGTGCTTTTATTTAAAATGCATCTCTGGGTTATTTGTGGGGCATAGGAATTCGTTCTCTCCCTCCCCCCCAAAAAATATAGTCCGGCCCCCCACAAGGTCTGAAGGACAGTGGACCGGCCCCCTGCTGAAAAAGTTTGCTGACCCCTGCTTTCCACTCTAGGACCTATCGTGCGGCAGAAGCAGGAAGGCACAAGGGAAATGATCGCCACGGCCCGGCACACTGGGCAACGCTGGGAAGATTTTGAATGTGTTGCATACATTAGGTAAAGGGACCCCTGACCATTATGTCCAGTCGTGGATGACTCTGGGGTTGCGGCGCTCATCTCGCTTTATTGGCTGAGGGAGCCGGCGTACAGCTTCCAGGTCATGTGGCCAGCATGACTAAGCCACTTCTGGCGAACCAGAGCAGCACACGGAAACGCCATTTACCTTCCCGCCGGAGCGGTACCTATTTATCTACTTTCACTTTGACGTGCTTACGAACTGCTAGGTGGGCAGGAGCAGGGACCGAGCAACGGGAGCTCACCCCGTTGCGGGGATTCGAACCGCCGACCTTCTGATCGGCAAGCCCTAGGCTCGGTGGTTTAACCCAAGCAGCAAATCCAACTCCCGAGCCCTCGAGTTTTGTTAAATGGCCAGTCTGTCTCCAAAGCTGGCCTCATCGTGCAGAGCTTCCCACCAGATCTTTTTGTAGCTGACTCACATGGTCTTGGACCATAAAGAAGGCTGATCGCCGAAGAATTGATGCTTTTGAATTATGGTGCTGGAGGAGACTCTTGAGAGTCCCATGGACTGCAAGAAGATCAAACACATCCATTCTTAAGGAAATCAGCCCTGAGGGATCACTGGAAGGACAGATCCTAAAGCTGAGGCTCCAATACTTTGGCCACCTCATGAGAAGAGAAGACTCCCTGGAAAAGACCCTGATGTTGGGGAAGATGGAGGGCACAAGGAGAAGGGGACGACAGAGGACGAGATGGTGGGACAGTGTTCTCAAAGCTACCAGCATGAGTTTGACCAAACTGCGGGAGGCAGTGGAGGACAGAGGTGCCTGGCATGCTCTGGTCCAGGGGGTCACGAAGAGTCGGACACGACTAAACGACTAAACAACAACAACAACACATGGTCTTGATCAACTGGTGTAGGAGCGGATTAAGAACGTAAGAATAGCCGGCTGGATCAGGCCCATGGCCCATCCAGTCCAACACCCTGTTCTCACAGAGGCCAGCCCTATGGGAAACCAGCACGCAGGATCCGAGCCCAAAAGCCCTCCCCCTGGTCCTGCCGTTTCCAGCAACTGGTATTCCAGAAGCATTAGTCCAATTCTCTTTCAAAGCCGCCCATCCCTGCCTCATGTGGCAATGAGTTCCGCAGTTTAACTACGCACCGCGTGAAGAAAATACCTTTCTCCTCCCCTCTATCCTGACTCTCCCAGTATTCAGCCTCACTGGATCTGCAGGAGTTCTGGGGTTACAAGCGAGGGAGAAGAACTTCTCCCCGCCATGCTCATTTTCATGAATTTCTATCATGTTGCTCCCCCCCTCTCCCCTCTTCTCTAACCTAAACGGCTCCAGACCCTGCTCACAATCCCCCCTCACATCGCTGCTTACATCTTGTGCAAGGTTTTATTTAACTTTCTAAATGCCGCACTTGTTTTTATTTTAAGAAGAAGGCGTATACATGCGCCTGAATATGCAACTCCACCCCCCCCCAGTCCTTTCCTCAAAGCCTGATCTCCTCTTCCTCCCCCTTACAGGACCTCTTTTTGCAGCAAGGAAGAGAGTGAAAACAGGAAATGCCTACAGATCATTGTGGCTCCCTTTCTTTTCAATCAAAGACCTGGTTTCAGTCCAACGAAGGAAACTGGTGACAAAGCAACCTTTGGCAACTGAACAACTTGACTTCTTCTCCTGGTTTGGGGAGTGGGCTATTGGGCTCGGAGAAGATATCTTTCCGGGACAGGAATGCCACAACTGGCTTTTTGTGTGTTTGCGGGGAAGGGGAGACACCCTCCCCGCCTCACCCCACCCCTCCAATTCCAGTTTAAATACTTGTTCGCAATAGCCCCCTTTCTCCCCATGGACTTGTTAAAAATTCGTTTGTACAGATCGCCTTGTTGGTTCAGAATTCATGGGTAGGCAAACTAAGGCCCAGGGGCCGGATCTGGCCCAATCACCTTCTAAATCCGGCCTGCGGACGGTCCGGGAATAGCATGTTTTCACATATGTAGAATGTGTGCTTTTATTTAAAATGCATCTCTGGGTTATTTGTGGGGCATAGGAATTCGTTCATTCCCACTCCCCAATATAGTCTGGCCCCCCACAAGGTCTGAGGGACAGTGGACCGGCCCCCTGCTGAAAAAGTTTGCTGACTTTCAGATTAAGACCCATCTGGTTTTTCAGCAACAGCCAGCAAGATGCTCCTGGGAGGCCATTTCTGCTGTCTGCGGGAGAGCTTCTCCTGCAAATATCCAATTTCTCCTCCTCTGCAGTAACTCAGACCAGGGCTTTTAGTGTGGCGGGTTCTGCCCTGTGGAATAGCATCCCTGTCGAGACGCGACAGGTGCCTGCTACCTGCACTTTCCGGAAACAGCTGAATATGGTTTTATTCCTAGAGGTTTCTCTCAGCTGGCAAAAGGGGGTCTTTACCAAAGAGTGTCCACTCGTTAGGGTATTGGTCTTCTTTAAATGCATTTGTTGTTTCCGGGTTCTTAACTGCTTTTAATTATCTTTGGTATAAATCACCTTGTGATGTTGGTTTAGGAGGCAACTCATCTGTCAAAGACGATCATCATCATAATAATAAACAATTTAAATGGTTCCTTCCTTATTTATTTATAACAGCTATCTCAGATAGTGTTTCAGTATTGTATCTTGGGCTCGTCCACCCAGGAGAAGGAAAACTCTGATCCTAAATCTTCGCTGCCTTGCAGGAGATCTTCGGGAGAAGAAAGGGGTGAGGAGTAAACCCAAATCTGGAGTGGGGTCTCTGGGGTGGTTGGATGATGCCAGATGGGCGGGGTATGAATAAATAAATAAATACCGTATTTTTCGCTCTATAGGACGCACTCCCCCCCCCCAATTAAGGGGGAAATGTGTGTGCGTCCTATGGAGCGAATGCAGGCTCCTTGGCTTCAGAGATAGCAACGCGAAGCCTCCAAAGCGCAGAGGGAGCGCTCCCTCCGTGCTCCGGAGGCTTCGCGTTGCTTTCGCTGAAGCCTGGAGAGTGAGAGGGGTCGGTGCGCACTGACCCCTCTCGCTCTCCAGGCTTCAGGGATAGCTGCCTGAAGCCTTTGGAGCGCAGCGGGAACTCGCGCTGCGCTCCGAAGGCTTCAGGTTCCTTTTGCTGAAGCCAGGAGAGCAAGACTCGCCCGGCTTCAGCAGAGAGGGAGAGCTGCGCAGCGCCCCTTCAGCCAAGCGGGAGGAGAAATGGAAGGGGCTCCATTTCTCCTGCCGCTTCGCTGAGGGGCGCTGAGCAGAGAGGGGGAGAATTTTTTCCCCCTTGTTCTCCCCCTCTAAAACAAGGTGTGTCCTATGGTCGGGTGTGTCCTATAGAGCGAAAAATACGGTAACATGGCAAGGGCACAGCCTGACTCCCTCCTTCGGCAATCTTCGCGGAGCTCTGGCCCAATGGCTGCCAGTGGCTTGAATTAATTAATTTTAGAATGAATGATTTTAGAGTGTTGTTTATGCTGTACTTTTGTACTGTTTTATTGTTGTTAGCCGCCCTGAGCCCGGCTAAGGCTGGGGAGGGCAGGATATAAATAAATTTTTTTTATTTTTTATTTATTATTATTATTATTATTATTATTAACATAAATAATAATAATTGTACGCCTCCTTCCAACAACTCCTGTAGCCAAGCTACTACCAAATATATCATTCTGCTTACCAATGGACCACTCTCGACGCCCACAACCCACCCTGGGACCTCAATCATAACCATAACAGCAGAAATTGAGGGTTATTCCCTGCTGTTTGCTTGCAGAGCTCACAAGATAGACTGCCCTTGGGCTGAGCTAACAAGCCACGGACAGGTTTCTGGTCCTCGTCCTGTTTGCACCTTTCTCTTCCGAAGACATCTAAACTGGCGGCCATCCTTGGCACCTGGGTAATGCCGTTAGTTATCTAGATGGGACCTTGGCCTGATGCAACAGGGGTCCCCTTAAGTTCTTAAGGAGCTGGCTGCCATGGGGCAGGTACCCACCTGTCTCCCTTGCTTCAGGATGGTGGGGTTGGCGGCCGCGGTGCGCTGGCTGGCTCCCAGAAGGCCGCTGGAGCCCAAGAGGCCCAGCCGTGTGGTAGGCAGGTTCCGGGAGGGGATCTGGAACTGGCGTGGGTTCCGGCGGCCCATTCCTGCACCTACAGATCCAGCTGTTGGCAGGGAGTTCGACTGGCCAAAACCTCGGCTGGAAAAGAACAAACACAGCGGCTTACCTCTGCCACCCCAGGGGCGTTATTTGGAACTAAAGATTCAGCCGCCCGGTGCCGCTGCTTAAAACGAAGGATCGTGCAGGCGCCCCTTAATTCCAAATATAAATCACGGTGGTTTTTTGGTCTAACGGCTTTACATTTGCACTTTCTGCTCCCCATCAGACAGTGGTGTTTCCACCTGACTTGCCCCACCTTGCCTTTCCCAGACTATGATTTGTATGTTTTGTGGTATTTATGGTTTTCCCAGTAGTGATGTATGGAAGTGAGAGCTGGACCATCAAGAAGGCCGCTGAAGAATTGATGCTTTTGAATTATGGTGCTGGAGGAGACTCTTGAAAGTCCCATGGACTGCAAGAAGATCCAACCTCTCCATTCTGAAGGAAATCAGCCCTGAGTGCTCACTGGAAGGACAGATCCTGAAGCTAAGGCTCCAAGACTTTGGCCACCTCATGAGAAGAGAAGACTCCCTGGAAAAGACCCTGGTGTTGGGAAAGATGGAGGGCACAAGGAGAAGGGGACGACAGAGGACAAGATGCTTGGACAGTGTTCTCGAAGCTACCAGAATGAGATTGACCAAACTGTGGGAGGCAGTGGAAGACAGGAGTGCCTGGCGTGCTCTGGTCCATGGGTCACGAAGAGTCGGACACAACTAAACAACTAAACAACAAGAATGCATTGTGATTTGCTGTTACTTTTATTGATTATAGGTTGGTAATTCTTTATTGTGGTCATTGATGGAGGAAGCCTCTCAGACTCCTGGGACGGCGTGCCCAGGGGCAGGGTGAATCGCCCATGGGGCAGGGCACGGCCTGTCCCTATGAGCGCTGTGCCCCCTGTCCCTATGGGTGCACAGCGCCCCATTCCGCACGGGGAGCAGGGCACCCATAGGGATAGGGTGCACCGTGGAACCTCAGCCACCCTACAGCTGGGGGGGGGAGGCAGTGGGAGGACAGCGAGGAGCCTGCAGGCGCCGAGACGCAAGGTTCATGCGCGCTGCAGGCCCCGTGGCGAGTGCCACCCGCCATTTTGTCACCCCCTGTCAGGATGTCACCCGGGGTAGACCGCACCCCCGCACCCCCCTTTCATACACCCCTGATTGTGGTTGATCTGTTTTATTATTTGCTGATGTTTAATTTTACTGTTTACTATTAGATTCTGATGAATTGTTGAACGTTGCTTTGTTTGATATAAGTTGCGCATTTTAAAGTTATTGTGACTTCTATATTGGATCAGATTGTTACTATTAATGTTTGATGTTTTATTATGTTTTTATGTCTTGGAAACCACCCAGAGTGGCTTGGACAACCCAGCTAGCTGGGCGGGGTAAAAATGAATTATTATTATTATTATTATTATTATTATTATTATTATTATTATTAAGCAGCGATGAAATCATTGCGAATTAATAATCCATTTACGCATTGGCAAGCGTTTGCATCGATACCAACTACGGCAGTGATGGCCAAACTCCGCCCTCCAGCAGTTTTGGGACTACAATTCCCACCATCCCTGACCACTGGTCCTGTTAGCTAGGGATGATGTGAGTTGTAGACCCAAAACAGCTGGAGGGCCAAGCTTGGCCACCACTGAACTATGGGGAAGGGGCGCAGCTCAGAGGCAGGGCATAAGCTTGGCATGCAGAACGTTCCAGGTTCTTCTTCTTCTTCTTTGGCGATCCCTCGTAGCTGAGTAAGATTGTCTCCCATAAACACGGTTTTAACAGGTTCAATCCCCAGGGGGCTATTACATGAAGATGATGTACAGATGGTACACAACACCAGTGCAGTTAGGTAAAATGTACAAAACTAGTTCAAATATATGTTGGAAGTATAAGGAAAAGGAGGGGACATTTTATCATATGTGGTGGGATTGTAAGGTAATTAAAAAAATTTGGGAAATGATATACAACGAATTGAAGAAAATGTTCCATTTAACATTTGTTAAAAAACCTGAAGCATTTTTATTGGGGATTGTAGGGAAAGATCTGCCGAAAAAGCTGAAAAACATCATGTATGCGACAACGGCTGTGAGAGTTTTAATAGCACAAGGATGGAAGACTGAAGAAACCCCAACTAAAAGAATCATGGCAAGAAAAATTGATGGACTATGCAGAACTGGCAAAACTGACATACAAGCTACAGGACAAGGATAACTGACTTTAAAGATGAATGGGAGCCCTTTACAAAGTATTTGAAGACGCAAAAAAGCGAACTGGACTCCTGGGCTGGTTTTGAATAGACATTCACAAACTTTTTACTGATAATAATCAGCTAAATAGTTTGAGGATCTATACAACTGTGTAACATGCAGAAAACAGCATTTTTAGAGAAATCAAAGACTGGAACTGAGGGAAGTTGGGGGGTGGGTGGGTTTTGTGTGGGAGGGCGGGGGGAGGGAGGAAAAATGGGGGGGAATAAGGATGATATGTTTCTGGATAATATGTTTTGTTTTAATTTTGTATAACAAGTTATTAAAAAAACAAGCCTTGACCTCCTGCCTCCCACCCACCCACAGCGGGATCGAAACATCAGCGTGGCTCCCTGCGCTACAGAAGGGACATTGCCACGCGCCCCAGCCACTCTCCCAGGCCCCGAATTCGGAAGAGAAAAGGCCCCAAACCTACGTTCTCTGCTGCCGGTACCCCGAGAGATCGAGGATGGATTTCCGAGGGAAAGCCCTGAAGAGTTTTTGCACCTGCTGTTTCCATGACAACAACCTTTTCTTCTGCGTCTCTGTGAACGCCTGCCCAAAAGAAAGGGGGGGGGAGAGGAGAGGAGGCAACATCAGAAATAATAATAATAATAATAATAATAATAATAATAGGATGCACCCGAGTTGTGAATAAAAAAACGTCTTCGCAAATACGGAATTCTAAAATGGGGGGACCTTTCCCTGGGACCTGTTAGGGAAGGGCCGGTAATAAAAATATATAGTAATGAAGGGGGATCTTTACGATTTTAATGCCTAATAGGCTTGACGCAACCTTTGGAGAAAGAGGGTTTGAGCCCTGGGCGCTTTGCTGCATGTGAGTTGTCTGGCGGTTCCCTCGCTGCGAGAAGCCAAGTTACAGGGAACCAGGTAGAGGGCCTTCTTGGTAGTGGCGCCCGCCCTGTGGAACGCCCTCCCTTCAGATGTGAAGGAAATAAGCAGCTTATCTTTAAAAGACATCTGAAGGCAGCCCTGTTTAGGGAAGCTTTTAATGTTTAATAAAAGGTAAAGGTAAAGGGACCCCTCACCATTAGGTCCAGTCGTGACCAACTCTGGGGTTGCGGCGCTCATCTAACTTTATTGGCTGAGGGAGCCGGCGTACAGCTTCCGGGTCATGTGGCCAGCATAACTAAGCCACTTCTGGCGAACCAGAGCAGCGCACAGAAACGCCATTTACCTTCCCACCAGAGCGGTACCTATTTATCTACTTGCACTTTGACATGCTTTCGAACTGCTAGGTTGGCAGGAGCAGGGACCGAGCAACGGGAGCTCACTCCATCATGGGGATTCGAACCACCAACCTTCCGATTGGCAAGCCCAAAGCTCAGTGGTTTAGACCACAGCGCCACCTGCATCCCTTAATGTTTAATAGACTATTGTATGTTAATATTCTGTTGGAAGCCGCCCAGAGTGGCTGGGGAAACCCAGCCAGATGGGCTGGGTATAAATAATGAATTATTATTATTATTATTATTATTATTATTATTATTATTAGGATATTGTGGTCATGATTACACTCTCTTGGGGATATTGGGTGGAAGCAGTAAAACTCGTCAACATCTAATGGTCTTCCAATGAACATGTGTGGGATTCACATCAGAGGACGGTGCCCAGTTCAGTGGGGAAGTCTGATGAGGGGCTCCAGCCACTTCCATTTGAACGTGGGGAGAATAATCTCCACAATCAGGAACCGTGTGAAATCTGTATTTGTTTATTTAGAGTATTTGTACCCGCCCCCCTTCGGTCGGAAAGGCTTACATGAAATCAAAAAACAAGGCATTTCATACACACGGGCTGACATTCTAATGAAGGAACGAACAAATGAATAAAAATACAACACTAAGGGCCAAGGACAAGATAAATAAAACACAGACACAAATTTCTAGGTCCTGATTCCTATACAGTGGTGCCTTGGTTCTCAAACACCTTGGCTCTCAAACACTGAAAACCCAGAACGTTTTTCGGAAGCCGAACGTCCGATGCGGCTGTCGGCTATTGTTTCTGGAGCACCTGCACCAATCAGAAGCTGCGCCTTGGTTTTTGAACATTTCGGAAGTCAAACGGACTTCCGGAACAGACTAAATTTGGCGCTTTGGTTTTTGCTATTTACAGTGGTACCTGGGGTTAAGTCCTTAATTCGTTCCGAAGGTCCGTTCTTAACCTGAAGCACCACTTTAGCTAATGGGGGCTCCTGCTGCTGCCGCACCGCCAGACCACAATTTCTGTTCTCATCCTGAAACACACTTCTTAACCTGAAGCACTATTTCTGGGTTAGCGGAGTATGTAACCTGAAGTGTATGTAACCTGAAGCGTATGTAACCCGAGTTACCACTGTATTTTGTGGTTTTGTTTTTGAGGCTTTTTCGGTTAATTTGTTTTTGTGACTGTCATCAGTGCAGGTAAGAAAATGGTTTCATTTTAATTTTTAACATCTACAATACTGTCTTACTTATTTTATAGTACAGTACATTGATTATCGCTTTCATTTTATGGATCAATGGTCTCAGATAGCAAAATTCGTGTTAGATTGCTGTTTTAGTGGTTGTTTTTAAAAGTCTGGAACGGATGAATCTGTTTTGCGTTCCTTTCCATGGGTTTTGAAACGGACTTCTGGAACGGATTAAGTTTGAGAAGCAAGGTACCACTGTACTGGACAGCCACTCAAAGGAGTAAACTTCTAGGGGCCGACGTCCCTTCAGTCTTCCCCCCTCTAAAATATTTGAGGGACAGGGTGCTCCTCAAAGTTGATGGACACGGTCATTCAAATGGTGGGCGTGCATCAAGCCATGTGATTGATTACAGTGGTACCTCTGGATGCGAGCGGGATCCGTTCCGGAGCCCCGTTTGCATCCTGAAGCGAACGTAAGATGCGTCTGCGCCTGTGCGGGTCGTGTTTCGGCGCTTCTGCGCATGCACATTACATCATTTTAAGCGCCTGCGCATGTGCGAGTGGCAAAACCCAGAAGTAACACGCTCTGTTACTTCCGGGTCGCCGCAGAGCGCAACCTGAAAATATTCATCCTGAAGCTACTTCAACCCAAGGTATGACTGTATACGCCCCCCCCCCTATTTTATTCTAGTTGGCACCCATGTGACTGACTTCTGCTCATAGCTGTCAACTTACAGATTTGAAATTAAGGGACCAGCAGCCTTGAAAATAAGGGATCAGCAGCCAAAATAAGGGATCAACAATTACTTTGATAAAATACATATTTTGTTGCATGAAAATGGCTTTAGATACCTATTAGGTCCATAAATTACGATATAGCATATATTCAACACAAAAAAACAGCAACAATTTGTTGTTGACAAAGGACAGCTGGACATAGAAAGGGCCCCATTACCTTCAGTAGCTTATTTAAGGGACATCATCAATAAGGGACAGCAGTGGGACGTGGCGCTGGGATAAGGGACTGTCCCGCCAAATAAGGGACGCTTGACAGCTATGCTTCTGCTCCTGCCATGAACAGCATGAGGCCCCTGGAAGATCCCCCGTAGGACAGCGGAATCCCCTCGGGAAGAAAACGATTCCCCACCTCTGCAATACCAGGCGTTCTGGCCTACAACTCCCAGCAGCCCCAGGGAGATGTAGTCTAAGATGCCTGAGCTGGTATTCAGCTGAATACCAGTTTCCCCCGCATCCCTAGAAAAGAACGAAAGCTAAGAGACCCACTCACCTCATGAATTAGGCATTTGTCGATTAGCTGGAGATAGGAGCTGATATTCTCCTCATCCGGCCTGGAGACAAGGAGCTGGGTGCATACTGCAAAGCGATAAATATATATATAGATAAATAATAATAAAAATAATAGTAATTTTTTATTTATACCCTGCCCTTCCCGGTTCAGAAAACCGGGCTCAGGGCGGCTAACAACAAATTTAACACTTAATTGATGCAACAACAACAAAAAGCATAAAATACAGTATAAAACGTGAATAACAATAAATTCAGAATTCAAAAATCAATTTAGGGGGGAAATCCATCCAATAAACATTAGATGATCACTAGGGCTAGCTGGCTAAATTAGTCCTGTTTGGGCCAGCGAGGAGACCAGGGGAGAATTAGCTGTGGGATCCCAGAGTGGGTAATCGTCATAAAAAGGGGAAGGAAGGGAAATAAATGATCAGGCTGAATTCAAATTGAAAGCCAGGCAGAATAGCTCTGTCTTACAGGCCCTGCGGAAGGAAGTTAAATCCTGCAGGGCCCTGGTCTCGTGGGACAGAGCATTCCACCAGGTCGGAGCCATCACTGAGAAGGCCCTGGCCCTGGTGGAAGGGAGGGAGAGGAGCAGAAAGAAGTCTATCCTTCGCTTGGGGAAGTTTGCACCTGCTTTAGACTTGTTTTCACGTTAAGGAAGGATTTGAACCGGCCCTGTTATAGTGACGTGCGCGGAAGAGCAAAGAGCCCTCCATGAAGAATGTTCACACACACACAAGCCGGATTCCATTAATGCCTTTCTCCCTTAGGCTCCTTATTTTGCTCCTCGTTACTATGGCGTCAATCTGCAATTACTCCATTTAAGTCTATTTATAAAAAGGGAGAAGCAGCTGGGGTTCTCTGCCTGAATGGACAGGTCAGATGCAGAGCCTTCGAGGAGGAAAGGCTCTCACTTGCCACAAGGGGGCACAAACAGACATTCAGCAATGCAGACCACGGGCCCATTGTTATCTTTGACAGGTAGACACTTCCGCAAAAGAGTCACTTTTCCAGCCCTGCGCTCCCAGGTCCCCTCTAGACAGTTTGTGTTTACTGAGCAATCGGCCCGATTTGCTTGCACAAAACTTGTGCAGGGGTTAGACGCTGGCTGCATCCAGATGTCGGGGGTTGTTGTTAATTCTGCCGGTTATAATATTAGTGCTTCCGTTCTGATTTCTAATGCTCTTTTCAGCACCTGGTGCGTGGATTTGGGGCCGATATACAGCCGTGCTGCGCTAAATTTCAAAGGGCAGAAAAGAACTGGATACCTCCCCAAATCTTGTCACCTGAAAGGGCAACGCAAAACTCTCATTTCCGAGTCGATGAGGTTGCACAAATAGGATGTTTTCTGGAAACAATTAGCACAGAATTGAGCGCTAAAGTAATAATTCTGAACTCTGCCTTCAGGATGGGTAAAGGCAGGTAGAGGGAAGTTCAGTTTGTCATTTCCCTGCTTTTCAATATATAACATTAAATTGCTGTTATTATTTTATTTTATTATTAAATTAATATTTAATTTAAAAAATGGTCAGAGAGAATGGAGGAGGAAGACAAACAGCAAAGCACAGATCTAAAAGACACATAAACATGGGCACATGGAATATGCCTGAACGTTATATACAAGACCTTTTTCTTGAAAGTAGAGACAAAATATGTACTCCCCCCCCCCACATTTATCTGTTTGTTTCGTAGGACAAGAAAATCTCTAATAAAAACTAATTTTTAAAAAGGGCCCCACATTTCAGATTGCAGTGGAAGGTGCTTTCTGCATGTGAAAAGCCCTGGAGCCCAATTCTATTTTATTCTCGCCACCCATTTGTCCCCCGGACAAACGCTAACGCAGGCCTAGGCAAACTCTGGCCCTCCAGATGTTTGGGACTACAGTTCCCATCATCCCTAGCTAACAGGACCAGTGGTCAGGGATGATGGGAACTGTAGTTCCAAACATCTGGAGGGCCAGAGTTTGCCTGTGCCTGAGCTAGCGGATCGCTCTTTGTCCAGATTAAACTGACTGACACACAGTGGTAACGACAACAGCAACACCGAGGCACTTTTACAACACCAGACGAGGCTGGAGAGCGAAGAGAAAGGAATGCTAACAGTTTTGTTTGCCATGGATCGTTTTCTATGCCACTTATGGTGGCATATGTGCCAGTGTGGTGCAGTGGTTAAGAGCAGTGGACTTGTAATCTGGTGAACCGGGTTTGCGTGTCCGCTCCTCCACATGCAGCTGCTGGGTGATCTTGGGCTAGTCACACTTCTTTGAAGTCTCTCAGCCCCACTCATCTCACAGAGTGTTTGTGGGGGGGAGGAAGGGAAAGGAGAATGTTAGCTGCTTTGAGACTCCTTCGGGTAATGATAAAGCGGGATATCAAATCCAAAACACTTATGGAGCCAAAGAGGTGAGCAGAACATTAATACAAAAGCGAAAGCACAATACAAGTGCAATTAATGAATGTAAAGGTAAAGGGACCCCTGACCATTAGGTCCAGTTGTGGCCGACTCTGGGGTTGCAATGCTCATCTCGCTTTATTGGCCGAGGGAGCCGGCGTACAGCTTCTGGGTCATGTGGCCGGCATGACGAAGCCGCTTCTGGCAAACCAGAGCAGCGCACGGAAACGCCGTTTACCTTCCCGCTGGAGCGGTACCTATTTATGTACTTGCACTTTGATGTGCTTTCGAACTACTAGGTTGGCAGGAGCAGGGACCGAGCAACGGCAGCTCACCCTGTCTCGGGGATTCGAACCGCCGACCTTCTGATCAGCAAGTCCTAGGCTCTGTGGTTTAACCCACAGCGCCACCCGCGTCCCTCCAATCAATGAATGAGAGAAAGGTAAAATGGCAAAATGGGCAAACCACATCCCACTGCTTATGTGCAGTCACAGGGTCCCCAGCATCCCAGCCCTTACCTGGGAGCCAGGTGAGCTCCTGCCCCGCCCCACCAGGGCCACCACCTGCTCCCGTCTCTCCCTTGGGAGCAAGACCTTCCCCAGTCACGGCTCCTTACCTTTGCCCATCACCTTAGTAAACTGCCCTGGGATGTCCCCTTCGGGCAAAGGAGCCCCACCGGATTCCCCCTCGCAGCCTGGCAGGTGGTGGTGGGGTATCCCCCCCGCGGCGGAGTCCTTGCAGTCGGGCCCCTGGCCATCGGAGCCAATCAGGGAAGCCGTGCGATGGGGCTCAGGATCCCGGCCGCGGTTGTCCGCCGTCAGGTTCCGAGAAGAGTAAGCTTTGATGGGGGTGAGGATCATTTGGTGAAGCTCCTGCAGGGGCACCCGCAGGTTGCCCCCTTCGAGGATGTCCTGCGGAAAACAACACCCCTGGACATTAATGCCTTGGCTTCTTAGCCTCGCCTAAGCACCTGTGCTTAACCTACTGCTTTGGTTTAGCCACACAGAATCGTAGAATTGGAAGGGACCACAAAATAAAAGAAATATCAAGAACCTCAGATATGCAGATGGCACAACCTTGATGGCAGAAAGTGAGGGGGAATTAAAGAACCTTTTAATGAGGGTGAAAGAGGAGAGCGCAAAATATGGTCTGAAGCTCAACATCAAAAAAATGAAGATCGTGGCCACTGGTCCCATCACTTCCTGGCAAATAGAAGGGGAAGAAATGGAGGCAGTGAGAGATTTTACTTTCTTGGGCTCCATGATCACTGCAGATGGTGACAGCAGCCACGAAATTAAAAGACGCCTGCTTCTTGGGAGAAAAGCAATGACAAACCTAGACAGCATCTTAAAAAGCAGAGACATCACCTTGCCAACAAAGGTCCGTATAGTAAAAGCTATGGTTTTCCCAGTAGTGATGTATGGAAGTGAGAGCTGGACCATAAAGAAGGCTGATCGCCGAAGAATTGATGCTTTTGAATTGTGGTGCTGGAGGAGACTCTTGAGAGTCCCATGGACTGCAAGAAGATCAAACCTCTCCATTCTGAAGGAAATCAGCCCTGAGTGCTCACTGGAAGGACAGATCCTGAAGCTGAGGCTCCAATACTTTGGCCACCTCATGAGAAGAGAAGACTCCCTGGAAAAGACCCTGATGTTGGGAAAGACTGAGGGCACAAGGAGAAGGGGATGACAGAGGACGAGATGGTTGGACAGTGTTCTCCAAGCTACAAACATGAGTTGGACCAAACTGCGGGAGGCAGTGGAAGACAGGAGGGTCTGGCGTGCTCTGGTCCAGGGGGTCACGAAGAGTCGGTCACGGCTAAACGACTAAACAACAACAACAAAAATAAAAAATGCAGGAATCTCAACTAAAGCATCCCTGAGAGATGGCCATCTAACTGCTGCTTAAAAATCTCCAAGGAAAGAGAGTTCTCCACTTCCCATGGGAGTCTGTTCCACCGTCAAATGGCTCTTACCTTCAGAAAGTTATTCCTAAGGCTCAGTCGCTATCTCCTTTCTTGCAACTTGAAGCCATGGGTTCGAGTCCTACCCTCCAGAGCAGGAGAAAACAAGCATGTTCCCTCCTCCATATGACAGCCCTTGAGATATCTGAAGATGGCTCTCCTATCTCCTCTCAGTCTCCTCTTTTCCATGCTAAACATACCCAGCTCCTTCATAAGGCTCAGTTTCCAAACCCCTGATCATTTTGGTCGCCCTCCTCTGCGCACCTTCCAGCTTGTCAAACTCCTTCCTAAATTGTGGTGCCCAGAATTGGACAGGGTATTCCAGGTGTGGTCTGACCAAGGCAGAATAGAGTGGCACTATGACTTCCTATGATGGGAACAAAATAAAAAAAATCCTTCCAGTAGCACCTTAAAGGTAAAGGTAAAGGGACCCCTGACCATTAGGTCCAGTCATGGCCAACTCTGGGGTTGCAGCGCTCATCTCGCTTTATTGGCCGAGGGAGCCGGCGTACAGCTTCCGGGTCATGTGGCCAGCATGACTAAGCCACTTCTGGCAAACCAGAGCAGCGCACGGAAACGCCGTTTACCTTGCCGCTGGAGCGGTACCTATTTATCTACTTGCACTTTGATGTGCTTTTGAATTGCTAGGTGGGCAGGAGCAGGGACCGAGCAACGGGAGCTCACCCCGTCGCGGGGATTCGAACCACCGACCTTCTGATCGGCAAGTCCTAGGCTCTGTAGTTTAACCCACAGCACCACCCGCATCTCAGTAGCACCTTAGAGACCAACTAAGTTAGTTATTGGTATGAGCTTCTGTGTGCATGCACACTTCTTCAGATACACTGAAACAGAAGTCACGGGACCCTTATATATAGTGAGAGGGTGGGGAGAGGTATTACTCAGAAGGGTGGTGGGAATGGATGATTGGCTGATAGGTGTGGTAAACCTGTTGACGACTGCTAATGACTGCAATTGGTCTTACAGGGAAAAGCAAGAATCCAATGTCTCTATTCGGACCAGGTCTCTCCATGGTTTTAAGTTTGGTAAAGGTAAAGGGACCCCTGACCGTGAGCAAGGGCAGCGAAGAAAACGGAAGAATGCTCATCTCAATACGCCAAGGCCAGAACTCTCTGCAGTCAGGAGGCTTCAAAGGCTGTAGCATTTTGTAGCTGCTGATTCTTATCTGGTTTCTGGATGAAAAAGAAATCGGCTTTCCCCGCAGCAAATGCACACATTCTGCGAATTAATTTCATGCCAGATTTCTCTCCCAACAACCTTGGTGTGTGCCCTGAAAGGTTTTCTAAAACTGGCTTTCTCTTTGTTCTCAAACACCGAAAACCCAGAAGTAAGTGTTCCTGTTTTTGAGCAATTTTCGGAAACCGAACACCCGATGCAGCTGTCGGCTATTGTTTCCAGGGTGCCTGCACCAATCAGAAGCTGCGCCTTGGTTTTTTGGAACATTTAGGAAGTCAAACGGACTTCCGGAACGGATTAAGTTTGACGCTTTTGTTTTTGCTATTTATTTTGCATTTTTGTTTTTGAGGCCTTTTCGGTTAATTTGGTTTTTTGACTGTGTGGAACCCAGTTCAGCTACTGATTGTTGATTGTGTGACTGCGGAAATGGATAAAAGCCCCCCATCCAAACAATGACTATCATCAGTGCAGGTAAGGAAAAAAACTTAAATTTTAATTTTTATAATCTACAATACTGTCTTATTTATTTTATAGTACAGTACATTGATTATAGGGACGCGGGTGGCGCTGTGGGTTAAACCACAGAGCCTAGGACTTGCCGATCAGAAGGTCGGCGGTTCAAATCCCTGTGACGGGGTGAGCTCCCGTTGCTCGGTCCCTGATCCTGCCAACCTAGCAGTTCGAAAACACGTTAAAGTGCAAGTAGATAAGTAGGTACCGCTCCGGCGGGAAGGTAAACAGCGTTTCCGTGCGCTGCTCTGGTTCGCCAGAAGCGGCTTAGTCATGCTGGCCAAATGACCCGGAAGCTGTCTGCTGGCTCCCTCGGCCATTAAAGCGAGATGAGCGCCGCAACCCCAGAGTTGACCACGACTGGACCTAATAGTCAGGGGTCCCTTTACCTTCACCTTTACATTGATTTACTTTCATTTTATGGATCAATGGTCTCGTTAGATAGTAAAATTCATGTCAAATTGCTGTTTTGGGGGTAATTTTTAAAAGTCTGGAAAGGATTAATCCATTTTGCATTACTTTCTATGGGAAAGTGCACCTTGGTTTTGGAACGCTTTGGTTTTGGAACGGACTTCCAGAACGGATTAAGTTTGAGAACCAAGGTACTACTGTAAAAGCAACTTGTTAACGGGCTATTCCCATCCTACTCTGAAAGTCTTCTTGCTCATGCCACTTCCAGACGACCCTGTTTCTTGCTTTTTTTCGTGGGTAGTGGTTACTTAGATGATACTGCATCAAGGGAGTGTTAACTCAAACTTTCCAGTTGATTTTTCTGTTGCTTTCCTTATCCCCCAAAAGCCCTAAATTCCCCAGGTGGTATGTGATTGAATCCCACTCAAAAGAGCAACAACACCCTTACAATTTCAGGATCTGCCCAATGCGTGTTTACTTATGACTCTCATTATGTTCCTTAGAGCTTGCCCACTAGTAAATACGTTTCAGGATTGCAGCCTCAGTGGAAAAATGCCAACGACTAAGCTTTGATTCATCGCCTTCTGTTTTACAGAGAACGTAGCAGCGAGACTGTGGCTGCGTTTGCGTATTCATGACAGCCAAATCAATATATCAATATTTCAGACGCAACAGGGGCAGGGAAGTGGCGGGGGAAAGAGACCATGAAACTGCTCAGAAATCACACATGAATCGTGCAGGCTTTTCCTCCCTCTTCTTGGCCTTTAAGAGTCTGTTTTAACTGGGAGAGGGATCTATTACGGCTTCATTATCTTGTGCAGGATTCCTAAATAAGTCGTGTACTATAAACGAGGGGAGCAGAGGCGTGAGCTAACCCAACGCAGACAGACACCCTGCCGAGCTACTGAAAAGGCCCAAACAGAGGTGGCTAATGAGCTAACTATAGACCTATCATATTCCTCAAAATTATTTACTAGTAGCCTTGTGCCCGGCACTCCTAAGGAATTCCGAGAAACCAAACTATTAGTGCAGTTTTGAAACCAGTGGTTATAATCAAAGCAGTTTTGAAAGATTCGGTCCGCCATCTTGATTCAAAATGGCACCCAACTGTATCAAAACTGACAAATGCCTTGATCGTGCAAAATTAGGTCACGGTATCTTAAGAGGTTGTTGGTATTTCTCCCGGCAATCTTAACCTCAGATATGCAGATGACACAACCTTGATGGCAGAAAGTGAGGAGGAATGAAAGAACCTTTTAATGAGGGCGAAAGAGGAGAGCACAAAATATGGTCTGAAGCTCAACACCAAAAAACGAAGATCATGGCCACTGGTCCCATCACCTCCTGGCAAATAGAAGGGGAAGAAATGGAGGCAGTGAGAGATTTTACTTTCTTGGGCTCCATGATCACTGCAGATGGTGACAGCAGCCACAAAATTAAAAGACGCCTGCTTCTTGAGAGAAAAGCAATGACAAACCTAGACAGCATCTTAAAAAGCAGAGACATCACCTTGCCAACAAAGGTCCGTATAGTAAAGCTATGGTTTTCCCAGTAGTGATGTATGGAAGTGAGAGCTGGACCATAAAGAAGGCTGAACGCCGAAGAATTGATGCTTTTGAATTGTGGTGCTGGAGGAGACTCTTGAGAGTCCCATGGACTGCAAGAAGATCAAACCTCTCCATTCTGAAGGAAATCAGCCCTGAGTGCTCACTGGAAGGACAGATCCTGAAGCTGAGGCTCCAATACTTTGGCCATCTCATGAGAAGAGAAGACTCCCTGGACAAGACCCTGATGCTGGGAAAGATGGAGGGCACAAGGAGAAGGGGACGACAGAGGACGAGATGGTGGGACAGTGTTCTCGAAGCTACCAGCATGAGTCTGACCAAACTGCGGGAGGCAGTGGAAGACAGGAGTGCCTGGCGTGTTCTGGTCTATAGGGTCACAAAGAGTTGGACACGACTAAACAACAACAACATCTTAAGAGGTGTCTGAATGCATAGTAAACAAGCTGAAAGCAAGCTGAAAGCTTTACAAAATATATAACGGGATGGGATGCTTAATAAGACTTCTTAGAAAGACTTGTATTGCAATAATCTCTTCAATATTCAGTTTCGTTTTCTCCTTCTTCCTTTACTTATGAGAAGCATTCTCCCTTCTAGTCCTTGTTTACAGACACTGTTCTGTAGAGCATCCTTTGCTAGCCTGGTGCCCTCCGCAACTTTTGGACTACAAGTCCCATCATGTGGCCTGAGGCTGCTGGGAGTCCCAAACTGGCAGAGTCCCAAATTGGCAAAGCCCACAGCATCAGACCTCTTCCTCTTTCCCTCCTTGCCCAACCCCTCAGTTCTCCACTCTTCATTTTCTACTTGACTTCTGGCCCATCTCTCCTTATGTCCCCTTCTTCCCTGCGGAATTAGAACATACTGTGACATCAGAGCAGCTTAGCCAATTGCAACGCAGGTGGGCGGGGAGGAAGCAAAAATGTTTCAAGGCAGCTCGTACAGGAAATCACTGTCACACATGACAGAGAGGAGACATATGTAGGAGTAAAAAAGAAGAAGATTGAGAACCTTCATTACTAACACACTTAATTGACGTTAACAGCCGAAACCTCTACAGTTTTGAGTTAACTCACCCTTTCCAGGGACTTGAGAAGGTTCTGCCTCTCTTTTAGCTTTTGGATGCTGATCACAATTTTGTGCCTTGCACCTTTGGTAACGTTCTGCAACAACAATGTAGATATCTGTATTAGTATATGCACACACATGTGGGCCACCAACTGCAAAGCAGACATGGGACTACAAGATATTATTCAGGGCGGTGCTCAGCAACAAGTAGAAGACTCCAAGAGAATTTGAAATCTTCAGTCCATTAATCAGATCAGTGGTTCCCCAAGTTTTCGGAGCCACTGTCCCCTCGGTTCCGTAAAACTCACCCCCAGTAGACCCCTACCCTATAAAAAAGCATTATTCCAAATAGCAGTTTGCACAACCCGGTAAGGAAGATATAAAAATGCAATAAAATCTGAAACAGTAACTATTAATTGTATTCATTATACAATTGAAACTATTTAATTTTAATTGTACATTTCTGAACACAATTCAAAGTGTTGGTGCTGACCTTTAAAGCCCAAAACAGCCTCGGTCCAGTATATCTGAAGGAGTGTCTCCACCCCCATTGTTCAGCCTGGACACTGAGGTCCAGCTCCAAGGGCCTCCTGGTGGTTGCCTCACTGCAGGAAGTGAGGTCACAGGGAACCAGGCAGAGGGCCTTCTCGATGGTGGCACCTGCCCTGTGGAACGCCCTCCCATCAGATGTCAAGGAAATAAACAACTATTTGATTTTAGAAGACATCTGAAGGCGGTCCTGTTTAGGGAAGTTTTCAATGCTTGATGTTTTAGCTCATCATCATCATCGCTATTATTATTAATAATAATAATATTCTGTTGGGAGCCGCCCAGAGTGGCTGGGGAAACCTAGCCAGATGGATGGGGTATGTATGTACAGTCATACCTCAGCTTACAGATGCTTCAGGTTGCGTTTTTTGGGTTACGGACCGCCGAAACCCGGAAGTACCGGAACGGGTTACTCCCAGGTTTTGGCAGTTGCACATGTGCAGAAGCGCCGAATTGCAACTTGCATGTGCGTGCATCCTTCATGGATCACGTTCGCAACCCGAGCATCCACTGTAAATACATATATACATACATACAGTGGTACCTTGGTTGAAGAACAGCTTAGTTTATTAACAACTTGGATTAAGAATGCTGTAGGTGTTTTGGTTTGTGAACTTTGCCTTGGAATAAGAACAGGTTCCACTTCCTGTTGAGTGTGTTCCATTTGTAAATTGAGTCCCCCGCTGCTATGGGAAATCACGCCTTGTTTTAAGATCGCTTTGGTTTAAGAACGGACTTCCGGAACGGATTAAGTTCGTAAACCAAGGCACCACTGTAAAACAGTTTTCATTTATTTGCTGGGTGACCTCACATACTTGTGCCTCCAGCTGACACTCGGTCAATGACATCATGTCGTCATACGTCATCTGGGAGAAAAGGGCAGCGTACTTGTGGAGGCGGAGACTCTTCAGCCAGGCAGGAACATCTGCAAGTTGGAGATGGAGAGGAATGCCCACGTTAGATCTTATGGGGTTGCACAGCAAGCATGGAAAGCTACGGTACAGAGGACTACATGTTCGAGACGTTCCTTTTACTATATAAAGCCCTTAACAACTTTAATCTGGGGAAACCCAGCCAGTTGGGTGGGCCGGAGTATAAATAAATTATTATTATTCTGCAGGACTAGTCTCCTTGTAAGATTGTATGCCCTTCTCTACCGCATTGATCTGCGGAACTAGCACTGCTACGAGTGCCAAATCATAATACACGTTCTGCGGTTGTACGAAACCGGTCTTTTTAGTAATCTTTGGAACTCCCTGCCTATGGACAGCACTTCGCTGCACGCTTTTCGGTGTCTGATAAAGGCATTTTTGGTGTTGTTGTTCAGACAAAATTCAGACATGTAGAATGTTGGTGTGAGTTTTGTTTTCAATTTATTGCGGATTTTAATCTTTTGAAGGTTTCAGATAGTTGCTTTCAATGATAATTTCGTTGTTGTTTTTCTCGTAAACCGCTTTGAGGGTGTGTTTTTAAAAAAAATCAAGCAGTGTATTCTGTAAGAACTTGATTACTTCGTGTGGTGGTAACACTTTGGAACTCCCCGCTTATTGATACTAGACAGGCGCCTTCACTGCAACTCTTTTCGGCGTCTGCTGAAGACATTCTTATTTAGACAAGTCTACCCAGATGTTTAGAAGTTTGTATGAGTTTTAGTTAGCTTTGGTCTATTCTGTTGTGGTTTTAACTTTCTGCACGTTTTAAGTTAGGGTTGCGAATTTTTCAGCGGTAATTTTTTCTTTTTGTAAACAGCTCGGAGGGTTTTCTTTTCTACAGTTCGGTGGTGCTCAAAGTTTATAAAAATAAAGAAAGAAATACAAATATTATAGAATGAATAAATAACTAAATGTTCACAAAACGAATAAATATGACTGTTAGGAAACAAATGAATAAACAGAATGTTTTAGCTGATTTAAGTTATGGATTTTGGATTGTTTTCAACCCATCCTGAGATTTGTGGGAGGGTGGGTGGATAATAAATTTAATACTGTTCATATTCCTGCTACTTAGCACTGCTTATTGGACACCCATTGTGTAGGTGGCGGCTTTCTGTCCTCATCCAATCAGAACCCAAATACAGTTTTTCCTTGGAAGTCAAACGGAATCCGTTCCGGAAGTCCATTCAACTTCCAAAACGTTCAGAAACCAAAGCGTGGCTTCCGATTGGCTGCGGGAAGCTCCTGCAGCCAATCGGAAGCTGCGGAAGCCCCGTCGGACGTTTGGCTTCTAAAGAACGTTCGCAAACCGGAACACTCACTTCCGGGTTTGCAGCGTTCGGGAGCCAAAACGTCCGAGTACCAAGGCGTTTGGGATAGCCACTTCCGCCCTTCAGAGGAGGTGGGGTTGTGGGCTTCACGGCCCAGCCCCCGCGTGATTGGAGGGATTCCCGGCCGAGTCACCCCCTGGCCACCCAATCGGCTGGCGCTGGGGGTGTGGCCTGCCCTATTTAAAGCAGGACGCGGCCGGTGATCTCCCTCTTTGACGTTCCTCAGCTGTTCCGGTTTTCCCCACCCTCCCGCCCTATAAGGTTTTGCCTTTGACCTTGCTATGGACCTTGGTTGGTCGCCATTGAGGGGCCTGGTAGGAGTTTTCCCGCTTGGCAAATTGGCACCAGCCACTTGGTTTTTGCCTACCTGGTAGCAAATTGCCACACCTTTCTGGGTATTGGCGGTTAGGCATTGGTCTTGTTCTGTAGATGGAAGAGGGGAGGAAGCGCCATCACCTGCCCCACATATTGAAGGGTAGTCCAATAAAGGATTCTGGGGGGGCGTGGCCCTGTCCAAAGCCTGGGGAGGTGAGGGCCTAAGGCACACCCCCTATCGGTGACCCCGGGGGAGTTCCTAGTTGATGGGCACCAGCAGGACTCCGCCTACTGGTGGTTAACCCTTCCCGGACTTCCAGCGGACGGGCTGAAGTCGGATATAGTCGGTTAGGACCAATGCCTAAGCCAATACTGCTCATCACCTGTAACCAATAAAGCTGTGGCCTTATTTAGCCCATTAACCTTAATAATTGTGTCATTATTTCCACTTGGGAGGGGGCGGGAACTCGCCACGCAACCAAGGTACGACTGTATAGGTCAGAGGTCAGCCACTAGGGGACAGCAAGGAAGAAGAGCCCAGGGGGAAGAATAATAGATCTGTAGAGTTGGAAGGGACCCCAGGGGTCATCTAGTCCGACCCCTTGCAATGCAGGAATCTCAACTAAAGCATCCATGTCAGATGGGCATCCAACCACTGCTTAAAAACCTCCAGGCCGCAACCTCCTGAGAGAGACTGTTCCACTGTTGAACAGCTCTTGCTGTCAGAAAGTTCTTCCTGAGGTTTAGTCAGAATCTCCTTCTGGTAACTTGAAGTCATGGGTTTGAGTCCTACCCGCCCAGAGCAGGAGAAAACAAGCTTGTTCCCTCTTCCACGTGACAGCCCTTGAGATATCTGAAGATGGCTCTCCTCTCTCCTCTCAGTCTCCTCTTTTCCTGGCTAAACATTGCCAGCTCCCTCAACCGTTCCTCATAAGGCTTGGTTTCTAGACCCTTGATCATCCTGGTCACCCTCCACTGCCCACCTTCCAGCTTGTCAACGTCCTTCTTAATTGTGGTGCCCAGATCTGGACGCAGAACTCCCAAGTGGGGTTCTCACACCAAAGAAGAATAGAATGGGACTTTTACGTTCCTTGATCTGGACACCATACTTCTCTTGATGCAGCCTAGAATAGCCTTAGATTTTTTTGCTGCTGTGTCACACTGTGGCCTCATGTTCCAATTGCATTCCCCCAAGACCCCTAGATCCTTTCCCCATATAAGCCAGGTGTCCCCCATCTTATATGGGTGCAGCTGGTTCTTCCTTCCTAAGTGCAGAACCTTACATTTGTCCCTATTGAAATTCATTTTGTTAGTCCCGATTCTGCGGCGTTAGCTCCCCCTCCTAGTTTGGTGTCGTCTGCAGATTTAATGAGCATCCCCTCAATTCCTCCATCCAAGTCGTTTATAAATATGCTGAACAACCACGGGCCGAGAACCAGTGGGGCACCCCACTTGTCACTTTTTTTCCAGGATGCTGTAAAGGTAAAGGGACCCCTGACCATTAGGTCCAGTCGTGGCCGACTCTGGGGTTGCGGCGCTCATCTCGCTTTATTGGCCGAGGGAGCCGGCGTACAGCTGGTCATGTGGCCAGCAGGACTAAGCCGCTTCTGGCGAACCAGAGCAGCGCACGGAAACGCCGTTTACCTTCCCGCTGGAGTGGTACCTATTTATCTACTTGCACTTTGAGGTGCTTTCAAACTGCTAGGTTGGCAGGAGCAGGGACCGAGCAACGGGAGCTCACCCTGTCACAGGGATTCGAACCGCCAACCTTCTGATCGGCAAGTCCTAGGCTCTGTGGTTTAACCCACAACCGTTAATTAGTCTTTGGGTTCAGTCAGTCAACCAGCTGCACATCCAACTAACGGTTACCTTGTTCAGCCCAGATCTTACCAGCTTCTTCGCAAGTCCCCCACGGGGGACTTTGCCAAAAGCCTTATTGAAATCAAGATACACTATGTCCACTGCATTCCCCTGATCCACCAAGAGGGCTTCATTGCATCTGGTGATATCTAGGCACTGCAGGACCTGGGACAGCTCCCGGGAACAACAGGAGATGCTATGGAGCAACCTTTCTTAACCTGTGAGTCCCCAGATGTTGTTGAGCTACAACTCCCATCACCCCTAGCTAGCAAGGCCAGAGCTCAGGGATGATGGGAGTTGTAGTCCAACAACATCTGGGGACCCACAGGTTGAGAACCGCTGCACCAAAGGGCTCCAGAAGAGCAATTGTACTGTGCTGACCTCCCTGCTGCCTCCGGTCTCTCCTTGCTGGTAAACAGCAGCGACCCAGATGTTGGGAAGGCCGTTGAGCACTGCCATCACCACCACTGGCAACCAGACTCTTTGAGCTACTCTCAAAACATGGATACCGTATTTTTCGCTCTATAAGGCGCACCAGACAACAAGACACACCTAGTTTTTGGAGGAGGAAAACAAGAAAAAAAAATATTCTGAATCCCAGAAGCCAGAACAGCAAGAGGGATCGCAATCCCTCTTGCTGTTCCGGCTTCTGGAATAGCTGCGCAGCCTGCATTCGCTCCACAAGACGCACACACATTTCCCCTTACTTTTTAGGAGGGAAAAAGTGAGTCTTATAGAGCAAAAAATACGGTAATTAAAATGGAAAGGTAGCAGTGTGACTGATTGACTGACAGACAGACAGGAAGAATGCAGAGAGGTCCGAGAGAAGCTAAAGATGTCCACTTTGTGCTGTAAGAACCACTGCTTGAATTTGTGAGAAATTCAAGAAAGGACACACTCTGGGTGAGATGAATTGCAGCTCAGCCACAATGCATGCCCCAGAGCCAGGCACTCTGACATCAGCCCAACTCCTCTCATATGGTTTCCAGGAAGATTAAAGGAAGATAAATAAAATAAAATAAACGAATGAATAAATAAAACAATTTAACTAGTTAATAACAGTTGGCCCTGCTCCTTCTTAGTCGCTGTAGAGACCATCATGGGCACAAGGTATCCTGGAATACAGTCCACAAACACTTACTCGGTGGCATCAACTTTGCTAATTATAAAATGCAAATGAGCAGCTGTCCACTGATTGGTTTATGAGGCCTGCTGTGTCGTCTTCGGTACTGAACATCCCCTTTCTGGTGCCTTTCTGGAAAAGAATCTCTGGTCCACGCTGGCATTGCTTAGTCGAAATTAAAAAGAGAACAGCCACACGCAGCTAGCTTCCTAGGGGAATTAATTTAATCCACTTTTAAACGGCGCCACGAGGAAAAAAGCGCAAGCCCAAAAAAGGCCGCTTCTCTCGTGAAAACACAAAACAACGAACTAGAAGGGGGAGTGTCCGTTTCGAGCTAGGCTGCTGACAAGAGGCAGCAGATGGGAATGGTTAAAACCTCCACGGAGCGTGCCATTGAGGCAGCACAGATTGATGAACACATGGAAGGCCGTTAAGAAAGCCTGTAAGTATTACTAACAGAGGGAGGCCTATTCATATGCATATGCCAAGGGGGGGGGGAATCTGCACCCTTGCAAGATATGCAGACAAGTCATATGAGGGAGGCTTGTTGGACCAGACCAAAGGTCCAGCTGTTCATCATCCTGTCGCGACCAATCAGATGCCTTCATGAAACCTAGAAGCAGGAGAAGGAGGCAACACCGGTCCTGAAAGACCTACATTGGCTCCCGGTACGTTTCCGAGCACAATTCAAAGTGTTGGTGCTGATCTTCAAAGCCCTAAACGGCCTCGGTCCAGTATATCTGAAGGAGCGTCTCCACCCCCACCGTTCAGCCCGGACGCTGGTCCAGCTCTGAGGGCCTTCTGACGGTTCCCTCCCTACGAGAAGTGAGGTTACAGGGAACCAGGCAGAGGGCCTTCTCGGTGGTGGTGCCCGCCCTGTGGAACGCCCTCGCATCAGATGTCAAGGAAATAAATGACCTCAGCCCAGTACAGTGGTACCTCGGGTTAAGTACTTTATTCGTTCTGGAGGTCCATTCTTAACCTGAAACTGTTCTTAACCTGAAGCACCACTTTAGCTAATGGGGCCTCCTGCTGCTGCGCTGCTGCCGAACACTTTCTGTTCTCATCCTGAAGCAAAGTTCTTAACCCGAGTTACTATTTCTGGGTTAGCAGAGTCTGTAACCTGAAGCGTATGTAGCCCGGGGTACCACTGTATAGACGAAGGAGCGACTCCACCCCCATCGTTCAGCCCGGACACTAAGGTCCAGCTCCAAGGGCCTTCTGGCTGTTCCCTCCCTGCGAGAAGTGAGGTTACAGGGAACCAGGCAGAGGGCCTCCTTGGTGGTGGCGCCCGCCCTGTGGAACGCCCTCCCATCAAGGAATGTTAAGGAAATAAACAACTATCTGACGTTTAGAGGACATCTGAAGGCAGCCCTGTTCAGGGAAGTTTTTGATGGTTGATGCTTTATTGTGTTTTTAATATTCTGTTGAGAGCTAACCAGAATGGCTGGGGAAACCCAGCCAGATGGGCGTGGTATAAATAATAAATAGTAATTATTATTATTATCATTATTATTATTATTATTATTATTATTATTATTATTATTATTATTTCCATACCGGGATTTCTCAAACCGGGGTCCCCAGCTGTTTTTGGACTACAATACCCATCATCTGGCCGTTAGGCAACCCTAACATAAAGAAAGATTAACTTGCCAACCACCTCGTCTATAGAAAAGGAGCATACAAATTAAAAGCGAAACGAAGTGAAACCGGAGTTTTAAAACTCTCAGCTCTCCTGCTGACTTTCTTTTTTGGTGATTCCACTTCAACGAAATTTTGTTGTCAAAGGCTATGCATGGCCACAAGCCTTGATGGCCGTGCCCTGCCTCCACCGTTGGTGGGAGCAAATGACCGTCATAATTTTTATTATTTATACCCCGCCCACCTGGCTGCGTTCTGAACACCAGTTTATGGAAACCGCTGGAGGGAGAGCAAGAGAGCGCAGGGGTCCTGATGCAGGACGCTCTGCTTTATGTTGTTATACGATATACGTTATCTTTATTGTCCTTTTCCCATGCAGAACAATGAAATTGAAAAACTACATAAACATTCAAAAACCCCTAAAAACTCTGAAACCCCATTTTAAAATACACTATACAATAGAGAGATGCTGCATTTAGAACCAGAACTGCATTTGCGTAGAAACTGTTTCTCAGGCGGCTAGTCCCTGGCCATTACAACCCTATACCTTCTTCCAGAAGGCAGAAGCTGAAAGAGATCATTTCCGGGGTGCGCACTATCCTGTGCTATCTCTGCCACTTTCTTATGGCACCTGGAAGCATAGATTTGATCTAAGGTGGGAAGAGTGCACCCAATTGTTCTCTCCGCAATCTTTACAACCCTGGACAGCATTGTTTTTCCCCTGACCGTGCAGCTCCCAAACCACACACACAGACCATAAGTTAACACACACTCCACAGTGCAATGGTAAAATGCCATCAACAGGTCCTTTGAGAGATTGTTTTTCCAGAGGATCCTCAGAAAATATAACCTCTGCTGTGCTCTCTTCATCAGGTCTCTGCTGTTTTCTCCCCAGGTTAGGTCGTCTCTCAACTCCATTCCCAGAAATTGAAACACCGAGACCTGTTCCACCATAGCTGTCAAGCGTCCCTTATTTGAAGGGACAGTCCCTTATACCAGCACCATGTCCCGCTGCTGTCCCTTATTGATGGATGTCCCTTAAATGATGTCCCTTAAATTTTAAAGGAAGCAGCTCCTCTCCCTTCCTCCCTGCCGGCCAGGGAGGAGGGAGGCTCCAACTGTGTTGCTTGGCTGTGTTGCTCACCCAATAAGAAGTCTAAGAACGATTGGGGGGTGGAGGTTGCATGCCTTGTGTGTGGCTAGTTAATGCAAGCTGAGGAGGTTTTTGAATGCTGGACGCCATTTTGTTGCATGTGCTGCTGCAAACTTTGCAGTGCAAAGCCAGGCTGGGGAGCCATCTTAAGTTGAGGCTGCATAGGCCTTGTGGTGCAAGTGATTCAGATTCTATTCAGCTGAACCTCTGGTTACAAAGTTGGTTGGACAGTGTTCTCGAAGCTACCCAGCATGAATTTGACCAGTCTGCAGGAGGACAGGAAGACTGGAGTGCCTGGAACAGGTGAGGCTGCAGGTCCCTTATTTTCAAGGCTGCTAGTCCCTTATTTTCAAATCTGTAAGTTGACAGCTATGTGTTCCACGCACTTCCCTTCAATAATAAGTGGCTGAATATTACGCGAACAGGAGGAGGACGGGGGAACCTGGGTTTTCTCGCCACTCACCTTTCATACCACTCCCTTCTTCCTGGAATGTGTTACGCGCAGAGTTCTGATCTTCTAAGTGTTCGCTCCCACCACTTCCCGAAGAGGCTACACTGCTTTGAGGAGACAGGGGGGCGTGATCGGAAGGGATGCCTTGGGGTCCTCTAGCTCGCAAGTCCTCATGTGACAGCCACCCGTGTCCTAGGGGCTGGTTGGGGACGCTCATGGGCGGGGTAAGGGACACAGACCGTTTCAAAGGGCTGTGGTGGGTCTGGCTCGACAGAACTGAAACAAACAAAAAGCAGGGAACAGAAAATTAAAACAAGGTATTTGCTCACCACCGCCACCCCCTCCGCCCCAGACGCTTCGGTCGCTCTGCCAGACCCAGAGGCGCAAGATGGAGCAACGGGTGGACCGCCGCGGCTTCGCCCAGTGAATCCTGGGAAGTGTAGTTTGAGGTGTTAGGAGACGCCCGCTGGAGCTACAATTCCCAGAGCGGTTCAGAATAAGGGCCACTAACTGACGGCTGATTCAGGACTTTACGATATACGATATACGATATGCGATATCTTTATTGTCATTGTCCCATGCAGAACAATGAAATTGAAAAGCTACATAAAACATTCAACCCCCCCCTAAAAACTCTGAAACCCCATTTTAAAATACACTATACTATAGAGCTAGGGACGCGGGTGGCGCTGTGGGTAAAACCTCAGTGCCTAGGACTTGCCGATCGCATGGTCGGCGGTTCGAATCCCCTCGGCGGGGTGCGCTCCCGTCGTTCGGTCCCAGCGCCTGCCAACCTAGCAGTTCAAAAGCACTCCCGGGTGCAAGTAGATAAATAGGGACCGCTTACCAGCGGGAAGGTAAACGGCGTTCCGTGTGCTGCGCTGGCTCGCCAGATGCAGCTTGTCACGCTGGCCACGTGACCCGGAAGTGTCTGCAGACAGCGCTGGCTCCCGGCCTATAGAGTGAGATGAGCGCACAACCCTAGAGTCTGGCAAGACTGGCCCGTACGGGCAGGGGTACCTTTACCTTTTATAATATAGAGCAGTGTTTCCCAAACGTTTTTGGGCAACGGCACACCTGTTTACTGAAAAAAAATCTTGCGGCACACCACCATTAAAGCCCCGCCCCGTGACGTCAGCGCGCAGCGTCACGCCGGGAGGGACGCACAAAAGTGAAAGTTTTTTCCCTCCCCCTTGCTGGGGAACCTCCAAGCTTTGGGGGTGGGAGGAGGCAGCAGAGCGAGGGACTGAGGGACGGCGGCAACTGAGGCGGCGGCGGCTGAGGCAGAGCTGGGAAGGGGGTTTCCAGGGGACACGGCAGCTCCTCGAAAGGCTTCTCTCAGCTGCGCTCAATCCGCCTCGGAGAGGATTTCCCCTCCGGTCCCATGCGTTCGTTTGGGGCATCGCTCCGGCTGCTCCCTCTCCCGCCGCGCAGGAGCGATGCCTCTCTCTGGCTCTCCCTCCGCGCAGGCTGAGGGAGGGAGGGAGGGGCGCGTGTGACCCGTCTCTGCTGGGAGACCAAACCCAGCGAGGCAGAGTCGCGCGGAGGCGCCCAGGCAGCGCTGCCGGCTGCGAGGAGGAGCGCCAGGCAGCAGCAGGAGGCGCGGCCTCTCCTCGCCGCCGCCGCCCCGCCTCTCGCCGCCCGACTCGCCCGCCTCCCTCCAGGCATCTCGCGGCACACGAGGCAACGTCTCACGGCACACTCGTGTGCCGCGGAACACCGGTTGGGAAACACTGCTATAGAGACCCCTTATGCTGCGTATAGAACCAGAATTGCATTTGTGTAGAAACTGTTTCTCAGGCGGCTAGTCCTGGCCTTTATAACCCTATACCTTCTTCCAGAAGGCAGAAGCTGAAAGAGATCATTTCCGGGGTGCGTACTATTAAATTGTGCTCCAATCTCAAATTTCCTTTTCTGCGTATACTGTGATGTTTTACTGTTGCTATGGCCACTGGCTAATGCGAATAAAGTTTTATCTTATCCCAGAGCGGTTTAACAACCAGCACCTCTTCCAAGGGAATTGCAGCTCTCTGAGGGGAACAGGGGTCTCCTAGCAACTCTCCGCAACCTTAAGGGACTCCTATTCCTTTGCCCTCACAGACTTACGATGCCCAAAGTGGTCTAACAAGCAACCCCTCTTCCCAGGGAACTCTGGGAATTGTAGCTTTCTCCTAACGAGTCTCGGCACCTTCAGCAAACCACAGTTGCCAGGATTCTTGTGCGGGTGGGGGGAGAGCCATTGCCGTTGAAAACAGAATTAACAGGGCGTTTGGTGCCTGGTGTGGAATTTGTCTCTGGACGGAAAGGAAAAACGGGCCCTAGAATTTGCTTACTCAATTCCTCTCGGTGCTCCAAATACTCATTTTATCTGAGGAGGAGTTCCGTTAAACTCAAAAGCTTGCTGTACTGATAGGCACTTTGATGGTCCTTGAAGAGGAGATGGAAATATAACCTGTAGATGAGCAGGTGACTGAGTGGGCCCGATCCGCTTCCCTTGCCCTTGTCCCTGGTTTCCTCCACCACCTGCTTTCTTGGGGGCTTCGCCTCAGCCCCTGACCCCATCTCCATCCTTGCCTTGGCCCATCCCTGTCTATAAGATCCTCATCCAATTCTTATGAGGAACAGTTGAAGGAGACGACGAAAGAGAAGACTGAGAGGCGACGTGAGAGTCATCTTCAAATATCTAAAGCAGGCACCCCCAAACTCGGCCCTCCAGATGTTTTGAGACTACAATTCCCATCATCCTTGACCACTGCTCCTGTTAGCTAGGGATCATGGGAGTTGTAGTCCCAAAACATCTGGAGAGCCGTGTTTGCCTATGCCTGATCTAAAGGGCTGGAAGATGGAGCAAACTGCTCTGGAGGCCAGGACCAGAAACTATGGATTCAAATTACAAGGAAGGAGATTGCGACTCAACATCAGGAAGAACTTTCTGGCGGTAAGAGCTGTTCCGGCAGTGCAACCCTTTCCACGGAAGACGTAAAGCTCCCAGAGTACAGACAGATGGCCGGTGCCACAGCAGTTGCTAAAATAAAACGACGAGGAATAATAGAAAAGAGCAATCATGCGGGTGCAAAAATCTGCCACTTGCTAAGTTTCCCCTGCAACTGAAATCAACAAGGCCTAGTGGTAAGGTTCTTGTGTACTGAGGACGGGGACCCTCTGGTTCAGGGGCCCAATGTGGCCCTCGAAGCCTCTCTCTATGTCCCTGGGGTCTCTGCCCACGCCATGCCCTTGTCCTGGCCACCCAACTCTGCCTGGCCCCAATCCACATCTTCCTCAAGTGCTTTTCACTGCCCGGAACGTGTCTTTGGGTTGCGAGAATGCCTCTCGCGTATGGCTGGAACACCGCCTACGGTGCAAAAGTTAGGATTATCTCTGGGCAAGAATCTCTCCGGCTATTTAAGGGAATGTCATAGTATGGTGAAGTCGCAAGCAGGATTCAAAATATGAGCAACAGAAGGAATGAGAGAATACAGTCTTGAAGGGATGGCATAAGAGGGTTGAAATATACTCGGAGTTGAGAGTGGATTTCATGCTCTTCATTCAGCTCATAGTGGTGAGGAGGAATGGAGGTTCCCCCAGAATGTCTGCTTTATATACATTATTTACACAATGGGCCGCACGTGATTGGCTAATTCCCAGGATTCTCCTGTAGGCCAATCAGGTTGCAGATTCCCTTCCACCTGGAGCTGGATTGGGTGGCTCCTGTGGACCAATCAGACTGCTGCATTGTTCTAGGACCAATCAGATGCCAGCAATGCCATCCCCAATGAGAGAAACTGTTAATCCAGCAGTTCTCAACCTGTGGGCCCCAGATGTTGTTGGACTACAACTCCCATCATCCCTGATCTCTAGCCTTGCTAGCTAGGGATGATGGGAGTTGTAGTCCAACAATATCTGGGGACCCACAGGTTGAGAACCACTGTTTAGGGAAGCTTTTAATGTTTCATAGGTTGTTGTATTTTAGTGTTTTGCTGGAAGCCGCCTAGAGTGGCTGGGGAAACCCAGCCAGATGGGCGGGGTATAAATAATAAATCATCATCATCATCATCATCATCATCATCAATCCTGTTTTGGAAGTCACATGAAGACATCAGTCTGTGCTTTAATTGTAGACAAACTAAGGCCCAGGGGCCGGATCCAGCCCAATCGCCTTCTCAATCCGGCCCACAGATGGTCAGCGTGTTTTTCCACGAGTAGAATGTGTCCTTTTATTTTAAATGCATCTCTGGGTTATTTGTGGGGCATAGGAATTCATTCATATTTTTTCCCAGAAGATAGTCCGGCCCCCCACAAGGTCTGAGGGACAGTGGACCAGCCCCCTGCTGGAAAAAGGTTACTGACCCCTGTAGACAAATGAGAGGTTTCATGCATAGCTTTCTAGAACTAGGAAACTGCACAACACTGGCTCTGTGCACAACACTGGCTCTGTGGCAGCCCCTCTGAACAAGCACCCCGCCCCCCCTGCAATGTGGGGCTCGCCTGTCCCTCCCTGTTGGTAGCCTTGAAACAACCAGGCTGTCAAATGCCAGCCCACCTCTTGTCTCTTCCTGGCCTGCTCTTTAAACCCCTGTTTTGGCTGATACATTATTCTAGTGGAATCAAATATGCAAATTCCAACCTCTCCGAAATATACATGCCAACAGTAGGAGATGTATGAATGTGTGTGTATTTGGGGGGTGGGGTGGGGGTGGGGAGCGGTTCCTCAGTTAAAATTATCATTCTGCAGCTGTGTACTCTAAAAGGGAAAAACAAATAAAACCAAAAGGACAATATTGCTTTTGAACTGAGTAATTGGGGAGGAAATGCCGGTTGCCAAGAAAACGCAGCAGGCAATTTTAGAAACCGATGTTTTAATACGCAACGGGTTTCATGCATGGAGAGCCAGTGTGGTGTAGTGGTTAAGAGCGGTAGTCTCGTAATCTGGGGAACCGGGTTCGCGTTTCCGCTCCTCCACATGCAGCTGCTGGGTGACCTTGGGCTAGTCACACTTCTCTGAAGTCTCTCAGCCCCACTCACCTCACAGAGTGTTTGTTGTGGGGGAGGAAGGGAAAGGAGAATGTTAGCCGCTTTGAGACTCCTGAAGGGGAGTGAAAGGCGGGATATCAAATCCAAACTCTTCTTCTTCTTCTTCTTGCGATGCCGCCAGTTACGGTGGAGGTACAGCAGTAGGTTTCACAAACCACAGGTTCTCCTACAAACTGAGACTTGTGTTTTCCAGTTGCTCTTGCCATTATAGCCTGGCGTGCATCTGGGTTGGGGTGGCCAAACAA